GCCACATTAGCATCAGCGATCTTTTCTACTTAATGCTATCTGCACAAATGGTTAACATTGAACATTAAAAGATCAGGCAGTTCAGGGAGAGTCGAAGGCAGGCAGCTTTGCATGACATTCTTCTGGACGTGTTTCATTGTGATGATAGTGAGAGTGAGTCAATCTGTTTGTTGGAAAGACAGTAGTTGAGTGATTACTTAGAGAAAATTATTAAAAGAGATAATTATTCAGTGTTATATTTTAAAGTGTTGTTACTGATTTCCACTGTACGTAATAGTATTTGGTTATGGTATATTATTTATATACATCAAAGGCACAATAAACCCCACAGAGACACACATGTATTGAGTGTGATATTTTGCATTGGTCGTGTGAAATCATCTTTACATACTAGAAAACTGTAGGAGTGGCAACTTATTTTGAAATTNTCGTTGCGGTGTGTGTGTGTGTGTGTGTGTGTGTGTGTGTGTGTGTGTGTACACACACACACACACACACACACACACACACACACACACACACACACACACACACACACACACACACACACACACACACACACACACACACCGCAACGACCCTGGTGAACACCCTTAGAGAGGGAGAGACCAAAGGGAAGCACCCGGAACTGATAATGTCGGCCCTGAAAGGCGAGCCTCAAGAACTTCCGGTGATGGGATGCAATTGGCACGTGGAAGTAGGCGTCCCTCAAGTCCACGGTTGTGAACCACTCCCCCTGTGCGACCACACGGAGGGTGTCTGCTGTGGTTAGCATATGGAAGGGCAGTACCTTCAGGAATCTGTTGATTCCTCTGAATTCCACCTCAGTGATTCCGAACGAAGTCTCTGCGCAGCCAGCTACAGCTCCTGGAGGACGGGTAAACCCGCGGCCCCGACCGGATGAGTCGCGAAGCTGCACGCAGCCAGCTGTTTGCAGAGAATCCTTGACAAATGTTCCAACCGAANGAGGAAGCGGGAACACTGTCGTCACCAGAAAGTCTAAGCCAAACAATAAATAAGACAGCAATCAGGAAAACTTAGCTGGGAGAGGGTGCTGGGACACAGCCATCACCAGCAAAGTTGACACAAACCTGTCTGTCGAGGCTCTGCACAGCGCACAGCCGGCCACAGCTCCTGGAGGACGCGTTAACCACCCGTAGCTCCGACTGTCAGTCGCGAACCTGCACGTGGCCAGCTGCTTGCAGAGGAATCCCTCAGATCAAACGTTCAAACCTGAACGTTGTAGGCTACAAAAATGTAGCCACGGTACTCTCGCGCAGCGAGAAGATGAAAGGAACAGATCCTCTGACGACACCGGCTGATATAGCCGGTGTCACGTGGGTCACAGGTGAATTTGTTGTCATTGGTACTCGAGCTGCGCATGCGCGCGACGGACATATCCAATGCTAAAGCACCGCCTCTGGCGGTCAGTAGGGACGAAATAGAACCAATGTGAGTTTGGAAAATTGCACAATATAAATCTATTCTAGTAGACCTCAACAATGGAATTATGATCAGTAGAAATGGCCATGGCATGGGACCTTTAAGACAAAATGTAGTAGCTGTAAAAAAGCAATCTAAGGAGTTGTAAATCGATTCAAAATCTTAGAAGATACATTAATCAATTTTCCGCACAATCCAATTTTTTCCATCATTTTTTATTGTGACTCCCTGTGACAGGAAGCCATTGAGAAGTCGTCTTTCTACGAGCCTCTGAGGAGCATCGAGAGAGGAAAAGTGACCGAAGCGTTTAAAACTGTCGATCAGATTCATGAAGGTAAGAGTCTGTGCTGAAACATATTAGTTCTATTAACATCTGAACATAATCAAACAGGACCAGGTTTTGTATTTGTCCAAAGTGTTTACACGTCACTGTGTTCGCTAATAGCACGCCAGCGCGTGCTAGCGTCTGTAATTATCGCACATTTTTTCCACAGGAGAGTTTAGAATGGGAGGTCAGGAGCATTTCTACTTGGAGACGCAAAGCATGCTGGTAGTTCCTGTTGGAGAGGAGACTGAGTTCAACGTTTACGTCTCCAGTCAGCATTTGTCATTTACTCAGGTACACAGATGATTTTTAGACCATTAGTGATCATCAAAACATTTATATTACCAATCTGTTAACAATTAACACTTGATGACGGCACCTACAAAAGATATCTGGGGTTTGATGGATTTGTCTCATTTTCCTGGGCGCAGGACGCTATAGCAGAGACGTTGGGCATCCCGTCTAACAGAGTCACATGTCACGTCAAACGGATCGGAGGAGCTTTCGGAGGGAAGGTCTTCAAAACCGCGATCCTGGCTTGTATTACGTCTGTGGCTGCGTGGAAGTAAGTCACAATGGAAAACAACAACACACAGCATCAGAATATGTCTGTTTGATTCAAAACCAATTACTGCATTGAAATTAAACGAGAAAGAAAATGAGGCTTCAATTCTTCTTTTTATTTATGGTAATTGATTTGATTGTTTCTGTATTTAGGACTAATCGTGCAGTGCGCTGTGTTTTGGAGCGAGGAGAGGACATGTTGATCACAGGAGGCCGCCACCCTGTCCTCGCCAAATACAAAGTAATAAGAAACACTTGCCAGATGGATTAAACCTTGTGAATGTTTTCAGGAAAAGTGATAAAATATTGTTATTTTTTTTCAGGTGGGTTTCATGCATGATGGGAGGATCGTGGCGGCAGATATCCAGTACTTCATCAACGCTGGAAACGCAGTGGATGAATCTGTCTTTGTGCGTAAAATCTTTTTATATTTATTTACCAGATGAACTGTAACCCTCGAAATTCTTCTTCATCTTCTTCTTCATCTGGCAGGTAGTCGAGAAGATTCTGCTCCACTTTGACAACGCCTACAACATCCCGAACCTGCGGGGCCGCGGCGCTGCCTGCAGGACCAACCTGCCCTCCAATACCGCCTTCAGGGGCTTCGGCGTGCCGCAGGGCCTCATGGTCCTGGAGAACATGATCAACGACGTGGCCATGGCGCTGGGACGCCCTGCAGACCAGGTCATTATCCAATCAATATGCTTAGTATTAATCATCAGTGGTACAATCACTAATTCCTGTTTTCAAATTGTGTATCAGATCAGGGAGATGAACATGTATGAGGGTCCGTCCATCACTCACTACAAGTTTGCGTTCAGCCCGGAGAACCTGCGGCGCTGCTGGCAGGAGTGTAAGGAGAAGTGTGAGTTCAGCGCCCGCCGCAGTGCCGCGCAGGAGTTCAACCTGCAGCACCGCTGGAGGAAGAGAGGCATGGCCATCGTCCCCGTTAAGTTCGGGGTCGCATTTTCCGAAAGCTTCCTAAACCAGGTCAGTTTGGTCTTTTTTAGGCGTGGTTAGGTTCAGCTTATTATGCTTTATATCAGTATATATCTTAATATACAGCAATGGTGATTGTGTGCTTGTTTGTGTGTAAAGGCTGCAGCTTTGGTGCACATCTATAAAGACGGCTCTGTTCTGGTCTCTCACGGGGGGACGGAGATGGGTCAGGGGCTGCACACTAAGATGCAACAGGTACAGGAAGTTCTTCAGTGTGAGTGAAAAAGAGTCAAAATGTGTGACATCTGCCAGCCCAAAATAAGTCAAGAAACACGATTTTGACAACAAAAAAAGGTCCTGATGCTGAGTGCATTTATAGAGGAAAGGAAAGCTAGTAAATAGCTCATGTTTTATTTTGAAAATACAACTGAATTTGCATATGCTGTCGGTTAAAGTTAAAGAAAGGAACAAAATCAGAATTGACCCTTTCCTCTCCGGTTCTGTTCCCTGTTTCCTGTCAGGTAGCGAGTCGGGAGCTCCACATCCCCGCCTCTAAGATCTACATCAGTGAGACCAGCACCAACACCGTCCCCAACACCTCCCCGTCAGCTGCGTCCTACGGCACGGACGCCAACGGCATGGCAGTGAAGGTAACATCACTTCCTGTTTGGTATTAGTGTTTTATTGTTTTTTTATAAATGTCTCTTAAATGACACAATTTAGTTGTAAGTTGTAGTTTATTTTACATATCATATACGTGTATTGTTTACTTTTTTCTGTTATTCAGGATGCCTGCCAGATTCTTTACCAGCGCCTGGAGCCAATCAGGAAGAAGAACCCCAAAGGATCATGGGAGAGCTGGGTATAATTGCACAATAATGGAAAACATGAATTAGATAACTCCTTGATTGAGCTTTAAAGATAGGTATTTTACCCAAAAGTAAATAGCATTTTTATCACAGATTATGTTTTCTTTTATTTATTCTCAGGTCATGGCAGCATTTATGGATAAAATCAGTTTATCAGTTACTGGATTCTACAGGTAGGACTTCACATTTATGATCATTTAATATTTATTTATGAAGTGACAGTAACACATCCCTGTCCTCAGAGGACCGGACCTGTACATGGACTGGGAGAAGATGGAGGGGCAGCCGTACGCTTACTTCACCTTCGGAGTGTGTTGCTGTGAGGTGGAGCTGGACTGCCTCACAGGAGACTACAGGGTCAGGACATGTTTTACGTTTAAAGAGATAAATCTGCATAATAAATAAATAACGTTGGTTCTTTTTATCCTGCAGACGGTAAGGACAGACATTGTAGCGGACATCGGGAAAAGTGTGAACCCGTCAATTGACATCGGCCAAGTGAGTGGCTGATTTAAATGCAACATAATTAGGATAACTAGGAACAGATGCTCTTCAGAGCTTACTCGTTTATTTTATTTGTATTTTTATCTCCATTTCCCCCTTTTTCTTTACTGTTTAACATCTTATCTTTTGTCTCTTCCTCCCTTCCTTTCCTGCCTCCTCTCTCCTCAGATTGAAGGAGCCTTCATGCAGGGTCTGGGTCTGTTCACTCTGGAGGAGCTGAAGTTCTCCCCCGCCGGGCACCTGTACACTCGCGGTCCGTCTCAGTATAAGATCCCGGCGGTGTGTGACGTGCCGCTTCACTTCAACGTCTACTTGCTGTCGAACTCCGACAACCCCCACGCCATCTACTCCTCAAAGGTTTAACATTGATTTTGCATTGTTGATGAGAAAACTTTTTCTCGCTTCTCTGCTGTGTGTCCCTCAATTAATAAGACAATAAATGTTCCTGGTGTTTGGTTCTGCAGGGTATTGGAGAGCCTATCCTCTTCCTGGGCAGCACTGCGTTCTTCGCCATCAAAGACGCCGTGTCTGCAGCTCGCTCTGACTCCGGGTTATTTGGCCCGTTTTCTCTAAACAGCCCTGCGACTCCGGAGAGGATCTGCCTCGCCTGCGCCTCCCCGTTGACTCAGAAGGTAAAAACTGCAGAAATATGGGTGTTTCTACACAGAAACTGCAGTGGTTGAGATCAGTTGAAGTGTTTGTTTTACTTTGTACCTGCCTAATTTACTGTGATTTCTCCAATAGCAGGTATTTATTTAAGGTCCGCTATTCTGTCATTGGTTTTATTTGATTTCAAAATGTTATTCTGCCATGGTTTACAATTCCAGAGATTTTACATTTAGCATTCTCCAGTGCTGATATCTGTTGGTTTGTGTTTTATTTTGTTCCCAGATTCCAGCCAGCATACCAGGATCTTTCACACCATGGGCCTTAAACATCTGAAGCTCAACCTGTCAATCTTTGTATGTGAATACTAAAGCAGTGCATGAATGCAACACACAATAATTAAGTAATGCAGTTATACTCAATGATCTATAAACCTTCTCTGTTCTTTTGAACCAACCAATGAAAAGTTTCTAATTGTTATTGTTACATTGTTATTGCAATTTAATTGTTTGCCCTTGCTCTCATCCTCATACTCATACTCATCAGTATCACTATTTCAATAGAAGAATACATAATTAAGCACAATATTATTCCTCTTTATTATTCAATGGCACTTAAAAAAGTAAATTAAGTGATTAAAACTATTGCTAATTAAAACAAATCAGCCTATCTGGTAAAGACAGCTGAAACTTCATGTTTAGAAAAATCAGAAAGGGACACAGAAGCACTTCTAGAATGGCCCTATTATATAAAACAAGTGTAGATGTGACTCAATATTTGTCAAAATAAACTGGCTGAATTGATCAAATTAAAATGTTGATGTAATACTTGTACATTTTAAAATGAATATGAAGTATGTATTTGTTATTTCCATGGAACGGTGTCATGCCGAGATATGCATGCACCTCGCGGGAGTGCGCACAGCTTCAAGCGAAAACTCCCAGACATTTCAATGATTTGTACGGCAAAGCACGGTTTGGAAATGATATCATTTGATTTTTGGTTCATCAATGGTGATAAATAATCTGAAGTCTATAGTTTATGAACATTAAGAGTCATTCATATTTTATTTTAGTAGCATTTCCTTTATGTGATTTGTCTAAGTTTGCAAGGTTTGTTTGATTAATTATCATTATTTCTCAGTGTGAATTCTCTTGTGTTCTTTTCGCTGTATTTTTAAGCATTTCAGAGAGCTTTCCTAAACTATTATTCTAAAATGAGGTTTTGAAATGTGAAAAAAATAATGTAACGTCCTTCAAAACAGTACAACATATCAGCTGGTAAAATAGTTTAATCCTACAGTGTATGTAAAGGAACTTAATAGGTGGATGCATTATTTGGCAATGCTGATTTTGTTTTTTAAATCCTGTCAGCTAAAAAACCAGCAAGAGATGTTGCACACTAGCTTCAGTCTTTGGGTCAAAGTATATTTTATTGAGATATCTTGTTTTGTTCTTCTCTCAGATCAAAAACACTTTGCTGCCATCTAGTGCAACTTTACTGTAAGGCCCCCGGTTCTTATTTTACAACATCTGTTTAAGCTATCCTAAAAAAGTCAGCAAGTGTTGTTGTTTTTTTTAAACTATATTGACATAGTCAAACGTGCCCTTTGTTTAGCCTCACAATGCTATTGGGTAGTAAATGTGTTTATAGGTCCTGCCCTCTGGCCATACACTCACACAACTTCCAAATCTTCAAACAAGCAGCATCTCTCTCATCAAACCTGAGGTGAAAATCTCAGATAGGCCAGGGAACATCTAACTGTCACACCGAATGGCTCACTGTGATAAGAACCCGTCTTGGAGACCAGAGAATGTGAGTTCAAACCTCGGGTGGAGATTTAAGATGTCTTCTTCAAAACGAAGTGAAATACAAGTAAAAGCAGAGAACTGTCAACAGGTCTCATAGCTCAAGGAGATAGAAGGGTGGTTGGTAGACCAGAGGTTGCAGGTTCGAGTCTTATACATTGCAGAGAGTAGATGGATAAGGCTAAGGATAAAATGGTAATGAATAAGTTAATGGGATGAATTGGTGAATAGCATAATAATTAAAGGAATAGAAGAAATGGGGGTTAGGGAGTGAAGTGAATAGGATACTATCCTAGGAACTGGAAATGAACAAAGGAGACAAATGTATTTTAAGAAACCTTTGCTTTATTCACATGTATTCATTTTATTCATACATAGCAGTGCAGCCTTTTCCCCAAGTCTGCTAAACGTCCCTAAGTCTGCTAAGTCTGCTAAACGTCCCCAAGTCTGCTAAGTCTAATAAGCGGCCGATAGGTGGCTGCCGGCTCTCACTGCACTCCTGTGCAGGGCCCTGCAGTCACTGCCGATAGTCTGCTAAGTCTGTAGGCCTGCTAAGTCTGCTAAGTCGGGGGGGCTGACGTGGCTGGGGGGGGCCGCTCGGCACCCCAGCCACCGCCCCAAGTCGGCTAAGTCTGCTAAGTGGCTGTGGGCTCTCACTGCAGCCACATCCATAGTCTGTTAAGTCTGCTATATGTCCCCAAGGCTGAAAACGTCCACAAGTTTTTCAGAAGCATAGGCAGCCGGGGTCTTAATTGATGGCGTGGCGGGGGGGAGGGGGGTCCTCTCTTCACTCTCTGTGGGAAGAAAAGAAGAAAAGACACCATGAAGTCGGCTAACCCTAACCCATGAAAACATCGTATTTGATGTGGAAATAAGGCACGGTTTAGTGCGTAGAAACAAGGCGTAGCATA